TACTTCAATCTACTCCTTCTCATTACTCTCTCCGCTCAAATTACCAAGGCAATCTTAAATCAATTATTTGCAAATCCTCTTCCTTTCTTCACTCTTTTTTCCCATCAAGTATAAACCAATGGAACTCTCTCCCGTCCTCTATCAAACTATCTCTCCCTATCTCTAAATTAAAATCATTTATTTCATCTAACTTATATTGATCTATTATTTGTTAATTTATTATTAGCTTTTGCTATGATCGTTAAAAAAAAGGTATTAATTATTCATTATGATGACATAGGCTGCTACAGCAGCTGCAGCTCCACCCGAAGCCATAGTAGTTGAAAACAAGTCTGGTATACATGAGGTTCCTGACCCTCCGTTTTCGCAAGGGTCAGGCCACGCCTGACTAACCTAGTGCTGCACAGTCCAGCCCCTCCCCTTTGCATTGTGCAAGCAAAAAATAATGATAAAAGCCTTAAAAGGTATTTGGTAAAACGATAAATCCCATAAAATTGTTTATAATGTTCCTGGATATATGCAAAAAATTGTTTTGAGTAGCCTCAGTACAAATAAACTAATCAAAATTACTGTAAACAGATTTTTTTGAAGGAAGTGGATATTGGTCCGGCAGCCGGACGCCTACTGCGCGGCTATAGATCCGGCAGTCCGTTGTTCTCCGTAAAACAGCTTGTGCGCATGCGCAATAGTGCAAAATGGAACTTAGTCTTTTTATCAAGAAACCCTAATCCCAAAACCCTACAATCCTGGAGGCTAAGATGTACGAGAGGGTGCTCTAAAAACTAAACACTAAACCCCAATCCCAACCCTACGACCCCGGAGGCTAAGATGTACGAGAGGGTGCTCTAAAAACTAAACACTAAACCCCAATCCCAACCCTACGACCCCGGAGGCTAAGATGTACGAGAGGGTGCTCTAAAAACTAAACACTAAACCCCAATCCCAACCCTACGACCCCGGAGGCTAAGATGTACGAGAGAGTGTTTATTAAAAAAAAAAAAGTAAAAAAAGTGAAAAAAAAAAGAAAAAAAAATCAAACATTTCAGCATAGTTTTAGTCAATAGTCCCGACGGGATTCGAACCGCTGACCCCATCCGTGCAATCCAGACCAGCCTCTCCACTACACCACCGCAACCCTGCTGCATCATCGTTGCTGATTGTCGTATTTATACTTGATATCTGTATATAAAATCGTGTATTAGTATACTGGGGTGAAGCCCCAGTATACTATATAGGGACTGCCGGACCAATAGCCGCGCAGTAGGCGTCCGGCTGCCGGACCAATATCCACTTCCTAGAATAAATTATACTGCATCTAGATCTAGTTGCAATGAAATGAGTTACAATCTGCATCGAAAACAAACATATAGGTGTAAAATTTAAACAATGAAAATGGCCTCACAAATCATGTAACAATTATTTCATTGTGTAAAAATAATTATTATGATATTACAAAAAAATATAAAATATTCTATTGGCCAAAAATTGTTACCACCTATCATTTTTATTTGAAAGTATTTCTTTTACGTGATTACAAATACTGCTCTGATTGCATTAAGATATTTAATGTAAGTGTTTATAATGCTTTATAAGCAACTTAGACTGATAGCAAATCTTACATCAGTGGCTGATATCATTATCTCTTAAAAGTTGCTCAAGAAACTAAGATAATTCAGTTTTAGCAATTATCAATGAACAGTATGAAAAGTAGCTAACAAAATTCAAGTTGACCCAACTCTAGTTGCTAATTAATGCAGAGCATAAGATATTTTTATTTGACTTACTTTCAGAGTCATGTTTCCTACATATATCAAGCTTAAAATTATTATAACTTCCCTCTAATCCTGTAGATATTTAAAAAAGCAAGCAATAAAAATAGTAATGTAAAATTTTAAAAAACTAGTTTAAGTATTAGTAAAAATACATCTATAATAATTGGGCGAAGCCCACTAGTTGTTGGGCGAAGCCCACTAGTTGTTGGGCGAAGCCCACTAGTTCGAGTAGAGTATGTTTGTTTGTTTGTACACGTACGTCACCCCTATTTATCCGTATGAAAAATTTTCCTATTTTAATAACCTAATCTTAATCTTCTTTGAAAACGGGTGTGGTCACAGTGAAATAAAATGGCGCCAGCTATCAATTCTTCATTGTTCTCAGTTCATGTTCTTGACCTTACAAGTTACAAGTCACTCACT